AGGACTGCTCATTAAATGCTATACTTAACTTTTGTGCGTATTTTAACATAGTAATAGGCTATCAGGTTGAGTTTATTCTTTCACACAGAAAATCATGAGTCCAAACTAGTCGATAGCTCGGAACTGACAAAGATCACAAGACATCAACTGGTTAAGCCCTTAACTGAAGACAGAAATTAAACATCCCCTATTTTATAAACAAAATGAGATTCTAAGATTTTCCAAAGCCATACTTCAGCAACACATTGGTTTTCAATTTTTTTCTAAATTTACACACACAAATACAAAGAGACAAACTTTTAAATCATAATCCACAGTAATATACATGATTTGTATCACAATCCTTACACATTTTCATTTATATATGTAACTCAAATAAAGGTTTCACAAAATAGTAACCTTACTATCTGTAATGTGCTGACATTTTTTTATCCTACTCAATTTTTTAAATGCTGATCATGACCCATTAAATTGATTCTCTACTCACTAATGAGTAACAACATCCATAGTTTGAAAAACTGCATTAGAAGGTAGTGTTTCAAGCAATAAATGTGTATTTGTCATAACAAGTAACATGTCATGAAATTTTGTTGCTTTCCATTGCAGACAGCTATTGATTCTTTTAGTAAAGTCATACACAAAACAATATAAAAATGTTTAATGAAAGAGAAGGATAGTATGACAGGTATAAATAATATTATCAAGGGGGTAGAAAAGCCGAAATTAGGCCAAAAGAGATCCTCAGACTAGCTTTAATAACTGGAAAGATCTGTGGCAAGATCAATTCATAACACATGTTCAAGGGTGCTTACATGCCATCCCTTCCATAACTTCAAATAAATTGCTAATCTGTTAAGCAAATCCTTTCTTTAGTGATAATAAAAAACAATGCTCTTGACTGGAAAGAATAATATATCAACTTAAAAGTGGGAGAATCCTTACCCAACTTCAGGAGTTAACAGGCTTCTCCTCACAGAATAGTCTTAGACTTGAGAGAGATATATCCACATTTCCAAACAAAGAGTTATGATGTGAGGAAGGAACATATAGAACATGTGAAACAAGAATCAATGGGGAAGGTAGAAAAATAGCAAACAGGAAATTTTAGAGGAATGGAGAAAATATAACATGGTAAAATTAACTCTTGCCTATTTGTTTTTACAACAACTAAATAATAACCTCAGATAATGAAAACCCAGAAGAGCAGTTTAAGTCCATTCTACCTCAAATCCTAATACTTGAGTCAAATACTTCCTGGTGCTCCTCCTTTAAATGTTCTAGTGATCCTGGATGGCATAAAAAATCTTAGATGATAAAAGATCTTTAGGTAATACTACACAATTATGAAGAAAATACTAAAGGGCCTTAAATTTGTTCAGCCTTTAAAGGTAACAGAGGCCAAACAAGGGTTCAAGATAAGAGAGTTGTCAAAAAATATAAAATAAAACCAATACTCTCCCATTTCAAAGACAGGAATTTTGGTTGAGCTTTAATGCCTCTAGCACTGCAGTTCCCAACCCCAGACCAGTACCAATCCATGGCCTGTTAGGGACCTCACCCTCACCTGGAAAAAACTTAGGAACCAAGAGTCTCACAGCTGGAAGCTTCATCTATACAGCCACTCCCCATGGCTAGTGTCACCGCCTGAGCTCTGTACCCGCCTACCTGCCTCCATCCATGGAAAAATTGTCTTCCATGAAACTGGTCCCTGGTGCCAAAAAGGTTGAGGATTGCTGCTAGCAAATCCAGCCAGGTTAGGCCCTCTTCTACATACATGCAAAGGTCTGACACAGACATTTCTCATTCTAACAATATAGAAAAACACTATTATTTGATATGTAATTTACCAGTAACTAACATTTTAATGGCTTTTTAATAACTCTCACTCTTCATATACTCATATCCTTTCCCTTCTAAGTCCCTTCCTCTAAACTGAAACAGCCCAGGAATCTTTTATTAAAAGAAAGAGACAGAGAGACAGAGACAGAGACAGAGAGAGAGAGAGAGAGAGAATATCTAAAGTGATGATGGTTGGGGGGGAGGGGCACACGCTACCATTTAGCAGAATATTTTATCAGCAACAAAAGTTACCGAAGTTAACATTTAACCAGCACCTAGAGTTCCTAACCTACAACTTACTATCTCAACAAGATTTTAAACATGTTTTTTCTTCATTTCATTCAATTTTATATAAACAAGTTACAACAAATTCATTTTTCACACCATACATTTATTTTGAAAAAGAATCCTGAAAAATCTTTAACCTAGTGATACACAATAACTATTTTGAAAGTTATTTTCCATCTTTTAAAGTACGCGTACATTTTATAATGTACTTTTTAAGAAGAGTATTTAAAATTAGTGACAGTGGCCAAAGTAGTCTTCATGTTGTCTTGTACAACTCACGCCTCTCTTGCAATAATACATTCACTAAATTCTCCTTGTCTTCATACTGATATGACATTCACAAATATATTTTTAAAGTTCAATGATTTCTTTTGTTTTGAATTTCAGAAAGAACACAAAATTCTGCTTCAGCAAGCAGAATGTTACCAGTCATTCCAGGCTACTGCTACTAGGGATAGGAGGAGTATGAGGGTAAAGATAAAGAAGAAAGAATATTTTCTTTATGAACTTGAAAATATCTTCTTAATATCTTTAAAGGCAAAAGTAGCAAAGCTGTATAAAAAGTAAACAGGCATGGATCACCAGAAATAAACAATTACCACCATAGAAAATAAAACCATAACTAACCCAAAGAAACACAAAGACCGTGGCAAAACTTTGACGTCAAAGGTAATTTTTTAAACTTTATTTTCCTTTAGGGACATGAGAAAGTTCTTCATGAGTATTTGAGGCAAGCCTCCTTATTGATAGGTTTCTGACCTTCTCCCAAAACTGTTTTACTAAATTACAAGGGGGATCTCTACAAGAAGACAGATATACAATCTAATACAAGTTGAGTATCCCTTATAAAAAATGCTTGGAACTAGAAGTGTCTTGGATTTGTGATTTGTTTGTATTTTAGAACATTTGCATTTTGGAGCATTTTGAATTTTCAGATTTAGGATTCTCGACCTGTATACATTTTGTCTCTCTGCCACTTTCATCTTTACTATAAAGTTAATTACTGATCGGTGAGAAAGTTATTTCTTCATATCTGTAACAGAACATATGCAAAGCAAGAGAAGCAGAATACAGTCCTTTAACACAGAACAAATATTGTTAAAATAGCGGGGGCGGGGGGAACACACCAATATTTCTTTCCTTTAAAAACCTAAACTATTTGACAATTTCTACACTTTGAATAAACAAAAGCTGCGAGCTTCCCCAACTCTCCCAATTCCTTTCCTCCTAGCTTACACATGAATGTAAAAGTCTAAAGCTTATACCATTATGTTCATTCCCTTGTCCAAACAGCATAATGAACAGAAGAAGAAAATCAACAAAAAATCTATGATAAAACTCTAGCCAGGTTCCTCTGAGCCCAACAGAGTTTCTAACAGGTCAAGGCAACATCCCTAGAATGATCCCAGCCACCCTTAACCAAAGTGTTAGTCTCTTAAAGCCCAAGCCTGCCAAAGAATTTACAGTTTGCTCTAGCCAACGCCTGAAGATAGGCCCTGACCAACCACTTAAAGCTTTTACTAAAAAGGGCTTGTAATCGTGAATCCTTTCCCGTCCCTTTGAGATATACATGTACCTCCTACAACTTGGGATTGTCTTTCCCAAGGGCCTGAAAGCCATTTCTTTAAAATGTAATCATCAGGAAGAATGGGGCCTCTATTTCCCTGTCTCAGAGCTAGCTAATGGACACAGCTGACCTAATCAGCATACTCTGCAATTTTTAACTTCTCTGCCTCTACTGAACCTCTGTTCACACTGCAGTAGACCCCTTCCTCCTCCCTTTAAAACTTCCAGTCACCTCTGTGCAAACTGAAGTTGACTTCAGTTCACGCTGGACTCTCTTCCCTATTACAACGGTATATTACTGACTAAAATCTGTCTTTACCACTTTAACTAATGTCCAGCTTTATCTTTGACAGAATGTATAAAGACAGTTAAACAAATCCTAATTAGTAAAGACTTAGTTATTTTATATATAAGATCATTAGAAATAAAGTTGGGTTTTTTTTGGGGGGTGAGGGGGGCCTCTGTCTCCCTGGCTAGAATACAGTGGCTTCATCACAGCTCACTATAACCTCAAACTCCTGAGCTCAAGCGACTCTCCTGCCTCAGCCTCCCAAGTAGCTGGGAGGGATTATAAGCATGTGCTAATTTTTCTCTTTTTTGTAGACAGGGTCTCACTCTTGCTCAGGCGGCTGGGCTGTAACTCCTCACCTCAAGTGATCCTCCCACCTCAGTCTCCCAGAGTGCTAGGATTATAGCTGCCTGGCCATAAAGTTTTTTAATAAAAAAAGAAAGACCTAAAGGTTTGAACTTCACGAAGGAGTCATAATTCAAGAAGTTGACCAATTAGCATTTGGGAGCTAGAAAAGACCCTTGGCAAACATCAAACCCCAGTCTTTCCTTTTACATATGATGAACGTATGGTCCAAAGAGATTAAGTGACTTACCCAAGGTGATTTCAATATGGAATTTAATTAGAAGCATGATTCTCTTACTTCAACATTTAAATATTCTTTCCATTATATTCTCATTGATAAAGCAACATTCACCATTAATCATTCAAGTCAAGATGAGCAATGAATATAAACTGGCTGACTGAAAACATGCTTTTACAATTCCACTGTACACCAACAACAGTAAATCAAGGAAAGTTTGGTGCAAGTGCACAGGAGATAGGATTTCACTTATGGAAGACTATACAGTATTACATATATGAAGCACCTTGGTGAAGAGAAACTTTTTACACACAAGCTAAGAAAACAAAACCCCATGCATAGGTCCAAAGGAGGGTCAAATGATTTAGATAGTCTTCAAAACAACAAAAAGAAGAAAAATGAAAATAAATAAAAAAACCCTTTTTCTGCACTTACCAGCAAAGCATTTGGAACAGAGATTCATAGTCTTGCTGGACCTGGGGCAAAAAAAAAGAAAAGAAAGAAAGAAGAGCTAAAAATTCTGTATCACTCTAATCAAAACATAAGATGTCTAAAATGTAGGCAAAGAATTTCTTGGCCAGGCAACTGAACTAAGAAACTAATAAATTAATAAGAAGTCCCTAGCTAGCTACCCGCCCCACAAACAAAAACAACAAAAATAAAAACATTTTTTTTTAAACCTGTGAGTTAGCCAACGCTTTATTTATTGTGGTTAGTAGCTTTGGTAGCACCAAGTTCAGAAATATCATAATATGCCCAGAAGATGGCACAGGAGTCAATTTATCCCATATAACTGCACATTCCCCCTGTTCAAACTAGAATATATGCCACAAAGTTATCACTATAAACAATGAAAATTTTGTTTGTAAAGAGGTAAAACTTCCTCCTCATGTATACACTTATTTATCTCTATAATATCACTTAAACTTTTATCTGGTCTTTCCTCTCATTCTTGTCCTATTTCAGATCCTGGTCACATTATAACCCTGTTGTTGAAAATTCTTTCTTCAGATGCTCCCAATCAAATTATTTTTCATATCCTTTCATCCATTAATTATTGCTACAATTCACTGAATACTAACTTAGTATTTAGTATTTAGCATTTAACACACATTCTTAGTAATTTTCCCAATACCACTAAGAAGGCTGCTACCATATTGCTTTGCTCTTAAAATGTACTTTTTAAAAAAATCACATTAGCATTTCTGTAACCAGGAAACACCTTACAATTGGCTACAAGTGATGAATAATTTAATGAGAAAATGTCCCCCCTCCTCCTCTGATGTTACTAAATTGAGAGGATCTTAGAAGTCAAAGACATAGAGTCTCGTTCCCATTAGACAGGTGAGCAGCTTGCCCCAGGTCACAAACCTAGGAGATGTAGAATAATTTCTGACCATGGGTCTGAGCTAACTCCAAAGGCCAACCCACCATCCTCTATTCACAACACAGCACCTGGCACCACACGGCAGCCCAGGGACTACATGGCAGGTAATCAGTAATGACCTCTCTGTTAAAGTCATCTCATTGCTGCTTCCCTTACTGATCCTCTCCCAAGTGGACTTATTCTTACAGCTCCTTCTTGCAAAAACCTCTTAGAATACTCTATGTTGGACAAGTTGACCTATTTACCACTCGTTTCTCGGCAACACCCCTCCCAATATCTGAGCCTTTGACCAGAATTTCACCTACAAAGAGAATAGTCCAACTTTATTTTGCCTTCTGTACTAAATTTTACAATTAAAGAAAGTCTCCCTCAGGAAATATACCCTGACAACTCTGATAGTTTTCCCATGTGCTAGAATCCAAGACCTAACAGTAACTGTCACAGAGTGACAAGACTAAGGGAAGAGGGTCATTATTTCTCTTTCCCAAAAGAGATGCTGTGTCAACAACTGGATATTCCTTCAGAATTCTGCTTAATATAAACTCATCAAAGGCCATGAGGAAAATTACATATCAATAAAAAAAAATGAATGGATGAAGAGACGTGTTAATGGTGGCATCTAACATATTACATGTCTGAATTGTGGTGAGCATAATACCAGATGCCTTCAACTCCCATTTACCAATGAGCAAACAGAGGCCCTAAGAAGGTATATAACTTGCCAAAGATTACAGAACTATTAAGTAAATTAATCTGGTCTAACTCCAAACCCTGTGTTCTTTTCACCATGTTAAACTAAGGCCACTGCTCTAATATGGAAGGGCACTGAGGGACACACATCAGTCCCAAACCAGCACTCTAGTAGTTTGTGAGAATGGTCCCACGACTGAAGATTTAGAGTATGGTAATCAAGTCGGCTTCCTGAGAAAGTAAAGCCTCCTATGTGGAGGAAGCACAACCCCTGCCCCAACTCCAATCTAAGACTCCCAGTCATTTCAGTTCCAATATAAGGAAGAAATGGGGATGAAGGGATTCCTTTGTTGCTCGAATTCCGCCCCCCAGAGAAGCAGATCCCTTTCTAATGCAATCACTATCTCTTGTTCATGCAATGTCACCAACAGCCAGATGTAACTCATATATCACCTCTGCTACTCTCCACTGTGCAGCAGGAATCATGGAAAGCCTGCAGAGAATAACTAAGAGCAGCTCAGTTATTCAGCTGAGCAGCAGCACACCAAGTGTGCCCGTTTTAACATCTGTGTTTCACAAAGCTGATAAGAAAAAAATGGTAAAATAGCATTTTTCTCAGAGTCCCCTTGATCTCTCTTCAGATAGTATATGTATTTAAAATGCCCACCATACCTATATATTACCTAAATGACTTCCAATCCATATTCTGAGCAGGAATTTTACAGCAACATGGTTATCAATCAGGTTATGATAGAAATAATATACTGACATTACTCAAAACAAGATGTTTCAAATCTGAAATAAACCAGATTTTGGCTACTGAAATAATAGTCACTGCTAAACAATGCCAACTTGGATCACAGAGATCAACAATGAACCGAAAGAAACTGGCAGAGACGCTTCTGAGAACTTTGATCCTTTCTCATGTCAAATGTGAAACTTGAAGCTAACCACAGGCATACAATTACTGAGTACCTAAAGAAAAGCAGTGGGATCAATTTGCACCGAGTCTTGGGATAAGACAACAGGAGTTGTCTAAGTGGCAACAAAGATGAAAGTACAAATGATTCTCTTTTGTCTCTACTGCTCCAATGAAACTATTCTAATTGAGATCTCCAATGACCACCATGTTTCTAAAACTAAGGGGTAGTAAGTCAAAAATGCCTACTCAAACATAAAAAGTCAAGTCCCTGGAATTTATAATGTCTAGAAGTTATCTCATTTAGAAAAAGGGTCTTGGTGGATGAATTAAGAATTTGAGATGGGATTACCCTGGATTATCCAGGCAGGCCCTAAATGACATCAAAAGTGTTCTTGTTAAGAGAGACGCAAAGAATGTTCTTGTAAGGGAGTGAGTGGCAAAGTCAGTTTAGAGAGACACACAGAGAAGACCATGTGAAGATGGAAGCAGAGACACAGGCAAAAGCCCAGGAATGCTGGGGGAGCCCCTGGAAGCTAGAAGAGGCAAGGAATGGATTCTCCCCCTGAGCGCCCTGAAGGGAAGAAAGCCCTTTTGGACCTTTAGCCTTTAGAACTTTGAGAGAATAAATTTCTGTTCTTTTAAGCCACCAAATTTGTGGCAATTTGTTACAGCAGCCTCAGAAAACTAATATACAAGGGTTACGTCTCCAATCTTGTCATATTCCCTCCCTCTCAGTAGCATTCAACTAGACCCATACTTCTGTCTGGAAAACTCTCTTCTTTCACCTTCATGTCGCTCAGATTGTGAATCAAATCAACCTTCCTCTGCTGCAGTTTTCCTCCCACCTAACTGTTCCCTTTTTGCCACCTTTGCTGCTGCTCCTCCTCTGCCAAGACCTTTATTTGGAGTCCCCAAGACTCATTCCTCATTACCTCTATTTCTCACTTAGCGATCTCACACAGTCCCATGGCTTTAAATACTGTATCTATGAGTATACATGGTCAGGCAGAGTGGTATAAAGGACACTGGAGACTCAGAAAGGGGTAGGGGTGGGGAGGGAGGGATGAATAATTACTTATTGGGTACAATGCACCCTACTCAGATGATGGGTACACCAGAAGCCCAGACTTCACCAAAAAACCACTTGTTCTCCCTAAATCTATTGAATTTTTTTTAAAAAATCATGTATCTATACACCAAAGACTCACAAATGTTTACCTGCAATCCCCAAACTCTTTACCTTGCTCCAAACTCATATATGTCTATTCAATATCTTAAAAGCAGCGCAAACTCATTATTTCAAATTATAATGCTCAGTATTTCCACTAAACTTGCCTGATCCATATCATCATCTTGTCCATCATTATAAATGGCAACACCTTCTTCCCAGTTGCTCAGCTCAAATACCTAAAAACCATCTCTGGTTCCCCTCCTTCCTGCAGTCCCCCATATACAATACGCATTGCGAGTCACTGGGTCTACTTCTAAATAGACCTCAAATCTATGTTATTATACTTCTCTCCTTCCTCAATGCTTCTACAACGGCCACCATTAATTAACTCTCATCTGGACCACTGTAAATGACTTTTTACTGGTCTCCCCATTCCCATTCTTGACCCCATACAATGATTTTCCACATAGCAGTTAGATCATGCTATTTTCCTGCTTAACACCATCCAACAATTTCCTATTATACTGAGTATAAAATCCAAATTTTTACAAAAGCCTGGAAATCCCCTTATGATCTGACTCCACCTACCTCCCCTCTTCCTCTTACATTTTGCCCCTCATTCACCATATCCCAACCACATTTGCCTTTTTTCTGTTCCCACAATGTACTGCAGAGCTCTTGCCCATGTTGCTCCCTCTACTCCTCAATCACTGTAAGCCTATCTCTTTCTTGTCACTTAGGTCCTAGTTCAAACCCCTCAGCAGCTTTCCCTTGACCATTCAATTTAAATCAGTTCCTCTTCCTGTTTTCTTTTCTTTCACAGCACATCATTCTTTGGTATCTCACCATGTGCCTGCCTGCTTGTTGACTATCTTTCACTAGTACAAGGTACATGGTATAAGAGCAAAGATATTCTTGGTCACTCTCCTCTGGTATTTAAAAGACAAGCAATAAATATAATAAATACTTATTAAATGAAGAAATGAATTAATTCTCTCCTAAAGGCATGAACCATAAAATATCTAAGTAGATTTCTAAAATATATTTTGTATAGGTCACTCAAACACCAGCTAGAAGATAAGGTCTCTACAATTCCTATGGCTGTCAGCCTGTCATCTCTCTAGAGCTCTGTCACAATGCACTTCCTACAACTGGTAGATAATGCCACCCTATGTATCTATGATGTGTCACTCAGGAGATAACAGGTGGCAGACACTTTCAGAAGGTACTTTCCAATGAGATGGGAGTTAGAAAGCAGCTTAAATTTTTTTCTTCTTTCAATAAATAATGTTTAATAATATTTTGC